TAATGCTGTTAAACATGGATGTACATCAGACAAAGCCACAAGTCCATCGCGCTGTTCTTGTTTGAATCATTAGACTCAAACACTGGAAAGTAAATATTCTCCTTGGCAGTGAATCTAGTGAAGGTCATAAAGAACACACACAACGGGGGCTCTCTTCCATCTGTAAAAGTAGGAGCAAATTCCACCCCCAGTGCTGCGCCTGGTTTCTAAGGCGGGGGGCTTTCTTGGGAGCCAGGATGTTACAGCAATTGTCTTATGCCTTTGTAACCTCTTGATATTTAAGTTAAAGGGACTTGGGCCAAAAATTATATCAAATTGGTGACTTCCTTGAATTTTCTAATGGGTATACACCCCAAATATATGAAACAAAAAAACCTCCAAAATTTAGGTTTTTATAATTCCTCTCCCAGTCTGTGAAAACCTACTAGGCTGGCTCTGTCCGTAGGAGACCCTTCCTTCTGCTGCCCCAGTCAAACCTCGGTTCTAGAATGTCTTGGTTCTCCAACAGTTTGGTTCTCTGTCAGGTTGTTCATGGAAAATATGTCCTGCTTGTCTAGGAAAACCCAAAGTCTCAGTTTTCCAACAGACAACACTTCCATGCTGATACCTGTGGGCTCGGCCACTCGTCTCTCAGGTGACAAACAGAGGAGACTCAGTTTTCAAACATATTGCTTCTTGCACAGTTTTCTGGAATGAATTTAGTTCAAGAACTGAGGTTCCATTATTGAATTTGACTTTAGCTACATCTGAGAACTCTCCATTGCCCTGAGAAGTGGGACCAGTAATGTACTGGTTTATTTCATTTCCATATACTTTTAGCTAATATGTGTAGTTTTAAAAGAGCTAATAAGAGATGAGTAATTACATTTCACTTAAAATCTACTTAGTATTTTCATCTATGTGGGTGTTAGATTTAGTATGTATCACAGGTGGCTGTTTTAATAGATCTTATTGCTCTTTAAAATTAATAAATTAAAAAATATAAGCCAAGGTTATTTTTAAGCTATAGTCTCAGTGCCCCAGGAATGTACATCTCTTAAAGACATGAATAGCTATTTCTATAGTTAGTTTGGTAGTGACTCATTAAAGAAATGTGTTTCTGTTCTCAGGTCATCTCGAAAGCACCAGTTTTAATCACAGCACTTACTTTTAGTCATTTTTCCCTCTCTCATTTATAATTAATAACTATGTAATACAGTAAAATCTACAGCCTTGCGAGGAAAGTCAAGCGAAACAAGAATGACGTGACATCACCCCCCTTCAGATCTTCCCAGTCCGGCACAAGGGGAGCTCGGGAAGGGCGTGTCGTCTCAAGGGGCTGGGGTCACCTCTTCTCCGGGTTGGACGTCTGTGTTCCTTACATTTCACTAGGTTTTGTTGTTTGAGTGCTGTTTTCATTCATGTCTGAGAATAATATTGCTGACAAGATCACTTCCTAATTCAGGGACATATAGATGTCAAATTTCATTAATACTAGCCTTAGGGTATTTTCAAATCCTTTTATGTAATACAAAAATATTATTGGACAGTGAATATATTTCAAATAGGTTTCGGATACCTAGGAATAATTTAAAAAATATTTTTAAAGTATTTATAGCAGCTGTGTCTGCCAATGAGGGTCTCCAGGTATGGTCATTAAAAAATACATATGGATAAAATCTAAAGGTGCTGAGTTATGTAGCCGTGTAACTGAGCCTCACCTTTGCTGGGCCTTTCTCGTCCATGAACTGAGGTAAAATTTGCTGTCTCGTAGGAATGCCATGAGGGTTAAATGAGCTCACAAATGTACAGCCCTCAGCACTGTGTCTAGCACCAAGTGCTTAATACATTGTAAATATTATCAACATTATTTCTTTTTTACTGAATTCATCACTTTCATTTTTCTCTTCTAAAGGAAGTATTCTGGGATTGTCCCCCTAGCCCCTCCTTTCCCTGGTTCCTGCGATTATCCGATACTTTATGTCCCTGCTTAGACTTTGGTGAGGTTGTGAATTTGGCAAAGGTTGAGTTAGGCCCCCCTTCCAGCACATATTCCCTCAACCCCCTGGCACCCGCCCCGATAGCTCTCATCCAGCACCCCCACAAGGACCCATTTCTGAAAGCTCTCCTTGTGGCCATCCTTCACCACAGCCCCCCAAAGGTGTAGCAGGTGTCAGGGTAAGCGGCTCATTGGAAGCCCCTCACAGAAGACGAAAGTCCGCGCTGGGGCTCCCGAGAGCGTCCTTCTAAACCGGTTTCCTGATTTCTTGGCCAGATTCACTTTTAGACTCCAAATCCACCATCTGTGGGTTCGTGCAAAGATCAAATTATAATGTAAATGTAAGAGTTTTTGGAAAAGGCTACGCAGGCAGTAGTTATTATGAAAGCTCATCTTTAACAATTCAGTTCACACTCCTCCCTCCGTGCAATTGTTGCGGACGGACCCTGCTGCAGCGCCGCCCCTCCCGCCCAGAGGGAAGGGATCGCACTGGTCCCTGAGCCCCCACTGTGCTGACCCCGATCCTACAGCATGTTTGTTTGCATCCCTGCCTCCACACAGCAGACATGCTTGCTTTGAATTTACAAAATATTGTATTAACAACATTGACACTCTCACTGAACAAACAGAACCAACATTGAGTCGTGTTTCAAATTGGTGTAGCTGATTTGTGTGCTATCGTGTGTCTTGTTCCACCAAATTCCAGCAATCTCAATTTATCCTCCTCGCTTCTGACGTGTTAACACATCGAGGAGATACAAGAATTTCCAGACTGGGCATGTCGTGAGGTGGAGGGAAGAGGCCACATCTCCTCAGCAGCCTTGCGGGAGCTGTGACCACGGTTCCCTTTAGCTCCGAATGCCTCGTGCCTGACACAGTATATGATACACAGCAGGGGGATAACAGTTGAGTAAATAATCGAAAGAAAGTTCTGTAATAGGGACTCACGAAGACCCAAAACCTTCAAGGTCTAATGAATCTCTAAGAGTACAGATTTAGAGTTCATAACAGGAGGTACGGAAACTGTTTGGCTCTCCCGGCCCCCCCGGCCACAGATCACGCTGTGCCACGTACTGGCCTCTCAGCGCTGGTGCCAGGGCTTGTCCACACGGTAAAGGGGAGACCGCCCGGCCCTCTAAAGACTTCCCCTTGCCATTATTTAGCCATAGTGTAAGTCTTCTTTTAAAAAGGTCGCAAAAAAAAATGTTGCTATTGTTATAGGGTTCTTTCTATGTTCACGTACCCATGTTTTAACCATAATGAACTTTGGTTTGTGACTTTTGTTATGAATTTTTCCTATATATGAATTTCCCACATATGAAATCAGATGAATCAAGCTCTTCCTATGGATTTGCTTTGTTTTCCCCTGGCAGTCCTATCTTACATAACACGGGATCAAGACTTCTTTGAATTTTTGCCTGGCTTCATAATAAAGCTTTAGAATTGGTTGCCTTCTGATTCACACTGGGGAAGGGGAAAGAATTGGACTTTCATTTTGCAATTATTTTAACCTAGGCCAATGGACACTTTCTGTAGCTTCCTATACAGGTCAGCAATTTAAAGTTGCAATATCCATAGAAATCACTATTCATTGTGGACCTACCCCGAAAGTTCTGAGTTAGTAAAGGAGTGAACTGGTGGTCTTAGGCAGAGAGAATGGGAGGACCCCTCTTGCTACTTAACCAAGAGGTTAAGGGGACTTACTGCACCAATCCAAAATGTTTTGTGTGCAGGAAGAGCTGTATAAATCCTAAATGTTGAAAGCAGAAGAAATTTTTTGGCATGAAATATTTTTTCCTCCTTTTTTTTTGGCCAATGAAGAAATTAAAGTCATTGTTCCCTTTCTTTTCTCTTAGAGAGTAGTTGATCTGCACATAAGAATTATTTCTGAGAATTTAATTTCCCACAGTGTAACCCTGATTAGATCTCACTCTCAGCGATGTGATTTGTGCATCTCTGATGCCCCGTTTCTGCGTCTGGCAGGAGTGCTGGTCTGAGCGCACAGCACATGGACGCCGTCCTCCCGTGCTCCGTCCTCTGAACTCCTCCTGCTCTCAGCCACTGACTAGTGTCTTCCACTCGCCTGGCCTTCTGGTTGCACAGAATTGTCTCTCCTGTATTAACTAAGTATCTCCACTGATGAGTTATCACTCGCCTGTTCATTGTAAAGTGTTATTAATAAATGTGAAAGCCCTGAAGTTTGCCTGATTCCTCCATTCCTCCTTTTTTCACGCATACGAATGGATTCAAGGTTATCCCTGTGACACTGCCGCTCGCTCGCACTCAGTTGTGTTGCGTTGGAAGTAACCCTGAGTGTGCCCAGAGGAATGCACCAGGAATAGGAATGTCATCTGTCATGTGCTGCATGGAAGGAGGGGGAAAAATGTTAAAATGCGCGATGTTAGAGATAAGCTCTTTGATCCAACCGTCTGTGCCTGGCCAACGCTGTGACCCACACAGGGCCTGGCATGGTGCCCCACACCCGGGCTCAGTGCCTCTGTACGTTTCCTGAACAAGCTAATGGGTGCAACTCAGTAGGTTAATACATTCCCTGGATCATTATTCTGAAGAAGGAAAAAGACATCAAGTATTTGGGAGTTGTTTTTTGGCATCACATTTCAAACAGTGAATTTCCTTCTTGTGAAAGGCTTACTATCGGTAGAAACTGAGTAGCACTTCGTTCACCACCAGCCAGGACCACTGCCCAGAACCATTAGATGCAAGGGTCACTTTCATAATCCACCCTTGCAGTATAATAATACCTTATGTTTTCTGCCTAGGTAGCTCTGGTAGAATTGTTATCACAAGTTATTACCCTTAAGTCTAACCTATTCAGAAATAGGTGGCTGATATTGTCATTTGAGGACTAAGAAATATTTGTCTAGACGTTTGATCCAATCTGTACTTTTATTGAATGTGTAATTGGCAAGAAAATAGCAAAGACAAATTTAAATGCTTGCATCTCTAACCTTGTCACGGCGTTTGAGCATTCATTCATCATCATTATCTTGGATTCCCGCAGCCAGCAGACTTTATAGGAAAGCAAGCACTGAAACAGATTAAAGCCAAGGGGTTGAAACGGAGACTGGTCTGCCTCACCTTGGCAACGGACGATGTTGATCCGGAGGGAAATGAGAGCATCTGGCACAATGGCAAGGTGAGAGCCGAGGACCTCCCAGTGGGGCCACTGCAGCGTTTCTGCAACAGGGACTCCCTGGTCTCTATCTGTCTCCTTTCAGAAGTTTTGCTCTTTATTTATCTCTTTTTGGGTTGACAAACTTTTGATTTCTGGGCTGACATTCAAGAAACAGAAATCAATTAACTAAAAGGAAAACAAAATGCTACACAGTTTCAAAAACAAAAAATTCATATGCTTTGGTTAAAGAAAATAAACCCAAGAACTTGAAAGACATTCGACAACGAGGAAGGTATGATTTAGAGAGTAAGATCATCTACCTGCCCACCACATCCATGTCTGTGAATGCAGAGATGGATTTTATAATGAATTTGGCTCCCAACTTAGCTTCTTTCAGGAGAAGGTGATTCGAACCGGAGCACATTGGCAGGAAAAAAATTCTAAATGAAAACATCTATGACAATAAAGGGTAGGGACTTAGGAAGCAAAGTGAAAAGTGGAAACCACTTTGTTCTTCAGGAAGAGTAAAATTACCTTCTTCTCACTTTGGGATGCTACATTTCATTTTCTCTTTTGGTTTTCAGTAAAACCAGGTAACTCATGATAGACTTCATCTCCACCCTTTTCATGACTACTTGTAAAACCCAATTTGCTGTACAGCTCAAGGTGTTGCTGCATTTTGGCTGGGGTCATCAGGCAGGTGCAGGGCACGCACCTTAGACTGGGGGGCGGGCACAGAGCCTTCACCTGAACAGCTGGTTTGCATGGAACAGTGTCTGCTTGGTCGATACCCAGGGACCCACACACTCCATGCCTCCGTTGTTACTCACGCCCTGCAGCCTACCTAATATTAATTCCCATTTCCCCCATCTCTTCAGTGACAAAAAGAGCACTGGAGGTGCGTAAAGCCAGTGGGCTCGCATACCAGCCTTTGGATTACTGAAGAAATGGCCATTCGGGCCGAGGCATAGGTCAGTCGGGCATAGAGCTAACTAACATCTACAGAGCTCCTACTGTGTGCTGGGTGGTTTTTATGTACTCTCTAATCTGATGTTACCACACCCCTCCCAGATATGTACAATCATCTTCATTTTTATGAGGCTGATCATTTTGCTGAGGCTTTGAGGCTGGGAGAGGTGAAGTAGCTTGAGGTTACACAGCTCATGACTGACGGAGCTGATTTCTGACACAGGCATAGTTGGACTTTGAATTGCTTATCTTTTCTTCTAAGTCGTGCCGAATACCCCGGTTTACTCTCTTCTCTGTCTCTGCTGAGGTCCCACTGCAGTGTCTTCAGCACTAATTAGGTACCCACAGTTCTCGTAGATGTGAGTAGCAGCTGGATGCCATTAGACAATAAGAAGCCAACATACTTTTCTCAGATCTTGAACTCTTTCTTAAGTGCCTCCCCTATAGTTGTGCTGCCTTTTTCTTGTGTTTGAACCTTTCCTACTCTTAACTCACTGTTTCCCCTTCCTCTTTCTATTTTAAACCTCTGGTTCAGCCCTCTTTTCTTAGTAGGCTTTTCCTCCAATTTCAAATTTGCCCACAGTTTCTGCTGATAACCACCTCTGCCACAGACCAACGGTGTGACCTGATCCTAGCCTCTCTGGGCCTCAGTTTTCTCATCTATAAAGTAAAGCTATTGGAAAAGATAATGTCTAAGGTTCTTTCCAGCTCTAATTAATCTTCCCTAGGGATTATATTTTTCCCACCTCATTTTTCTTACGCTTTACATTTTCACTGTATTTCATCCAGCTTTCCCAGTCTTAACAATATAGAGCACACCCATCCTTCCACCAACTTTCTGTTTTACTGGGCCACGGATTGACAGATTACACTATAACATTCTGTTTGCAACCCCACACCAACTAGGATGAACTGACAGACTCTTAGCATGCTAAATATGATGATACCCAAGTTAAAGTTAAAAAGCCTGGACATCTGTACCTTATATTCACACAATGTTATATGTTAATTATGCCCCCAAGCTGGGAGGGGGAACCCTGGAAACTAAAGTCCATTTTTGAATTTTCCTTTGCTGTATCTGTGTGGTGAGTTTACATGCTATATTGTTCATCTTTCCCACAGTATGTCATCTGCTTACAAAGAGCTTAACCTATTTGTAGGATCCTTTATTAATACTATCGCTGCTAAATTTTCTGAAATCAGCTTATCTGCTGTTTGGTGCTTAATAGGCTCTGCATTTTATCACGTGGACAACCCTCTTCAATCCACTTTGTGCTCTAGAATAATGTGATATAGTTTTTGCTTTTTATTTCCTGATTTTGTCTGGACTTGTACTGCCTTTGGTATTTGGCATTCCATTCCTGCAAATATTTCCAATGCTGAGATAGGGTACAAATGTACTCAAGCAATCAACAAGTTTTTATTGAGTGTTTACTCTGTGCCAGCAATATTCTAGGCACCAGGGATGCTGCGGTGAACAAAATAGGCAAGAATCTCTGTCCCCGTGGAGCTTAGATTCCAGGGGCAGGAGAGATCAACGATGAACATATAAATAAAATAAGTGGCCGTCAGGGAGTGAGTAGCACACTGAGGAAAAGGAAAGTCCAGTTGGGAGATGGGCAGTGCTGAATAGAGGGATTATAATTTTATTTTTTTAATTTTTTTAAGGATTATAATTTTAAATAAGGTTTATTTTTTTTTTAATCAAGGCACAAAGATAGGAATGAGAAGGTGTTTCCCTGAGTTTTAAAAGCAGCTTTGCTGGTAAGTAGGTGTTGAAGAAGATTACAAAAAAAGGAAGTTTGGAGAATTTAGAACGTGTTCTTTTTCATTATTCATAAACTAAAACACCCCAGGACAACCAAAGAAACAATATATCATCCAATTTAAATTATGTGACCACCTTCAAAGGCCGTTTACCAAGTTATCTTCTCTAAGTCGGTTAGAGGCGTCTTCAGGTCTCATAAGAGAAGAACGAGAAAAGGCTAAAAATAAACGAGCCTTCTTTACATTGGTACCAAGGAGGCCAATGTTTGATTTCACGAAGAATATATGGAGACAACTGTACTTGAACAACAAGAATATGAGAATGAGCATCTACTAAGCAGGTTGTTCTTGTTATTTATTCACTGAGCAAAAAGAACCGGTGAATTTAATTGAATGTGAAGATTTTAAGGTAGAAACAATATAAAATTTATGCTAGAAAAAAAATGTTTCCCTGGATATTTAGTAATAGGATAAAAGAAAAGGACAGACTTCTAAAATACTCTGGGCAGCTAACTCCGAGATTAGTGGGAAATTAAAGGAGAAATGAAAGTAATCTAGCAGAAAGCAAAGCATTCAATACATATTTTCAAAATAGCTTTCACAAAAAATATGCTACTCCTTTAACTTACTAAAGCAGAAAGAACTGTAAGACAATCACTGCTGGGATTTTAAGAGAGGGGAGAGCCCGAGGAAGTGGTGTTCATTCCCAGTCCCCAAAGAGTGGCTCTGGGGTCTTGACCTAGTGAGTTAGGGGATTTGGCCAAGAGACTTGCTCAGGCCTCTCCCTGTTTTCTTAAGATACCCAAGGAAGTCAGGCTAACTTTCCCAGCTCTCCAGAAACAGGTCTCTGTTCTACAGACTGGGACATGAACCCAAAGTTACCAAGAAAGTCTTTCAAAAGCAGCGATTAAGAATCCAGCCTCCTTGATGCAGATTGCTGTCTTATATCACTTAACTATGATCTAAAGGAGAAAAGCAATTTTAAAACGTGTATTATCCCAGCAATACTTGGGCAGTTAATCTACAAGAGAGAAGCCTTTACTAATGAATGCATTTATGGTTTTTTTTTTAAATCAGCCAGTTCTCACCATAACAAGTTCAGAAGTGATACAGAGAGGTTCTGATTTGGTATTTCAAAAAACTGGGGCTACAGAGGTAGGAGTCTATATTTAATTTCATGAAAGTACAGCACCTAAAAGACTAGACGTGCTGTAAAAACTGTTGACTCTAGTGGGCTCTTTGCTGAGGCAGCCAAAAGGCCACCAGGCTGATGCCTGTCTGCGTGTGTTTCAGGGCAGCGGCTGCGACATGTGAGCTGGACGGCGAGGCTGTGCGGATGGGTGCGACGTTGTGTTGCCGGGAGAGGCCATTCAGAGCAGGGCCATAAATCATATTTGGCTTTTGTTGTCTTCCTTTTACATTTTTCAATGTGGTATTTTAACCCAATATATGTGTAAAAGCATTTTAATCTGCTTTTCCTTCTATTTCAAACTTTCCTTTAGACCTTTAGATCTGGTTTCCACTTATCCTCTTATCTTCTAATCAGCCTTGTTATACTGAAATTTTTTTTTGTAGCATAAAGCTTTTGCTTTCCTCTCCTGTGTTTGATTCCTTGTTCAGTATTTTCCTCTGTTTTGCCGTCCCAAGTCATCCTATTTCATCCTCCTTCAGGGGGATTGTTCCTGCTGAACACCGTGCCTCCACTCATCTGGGAAGTTTCATGTCCCATCTCCACCCGCCTAATTGCACCCACCTTCAAAGAGTAGCACAAATCCTGGCTTAATTATGTTGACTTAACCGTCTTGACTTCCTGTTATATTTCCTCCTCTCTCTCTGTTAATTCCTCAGTGAGGCTGGAAGCTCATGAGGGTGGGAACCAGGCCTCTACTAATTCTCTGGAATGTACGGAGTAGGGCTGGAAGGGTTAAAGTTAACATTTATTTAAGTGCCTAGCAGTTGCCAGGAACTGCTAAATGCTACCTGTAGTCACACACAGAACGTTCACTTCCCATTGACTGTATGTCAATAAATAGTTTAATTGAGTACTGTTTTGGCAGGCTGTGTTCTCAACCCCACCGGGGACAGTTAACTAGGTTTGCATTTGGGTTTTAGATTTTTCTCCCATGTATTTATTGTTGCCATACTAGTTTGATAATAGAAGAGAATTTCTTTTAAGTGTAAAGTGAAAATATTCCATTCTTCCTCCTATTAGACCTCTTGGCACGCAAATGAGCAAATGCTGCCAGGTATTAAGAAACTAGGTGTTATTATTTAAAAATGAAAAGTTTCAAAGTAATATACCTATATAAATTTGAGAATTACTTTTCATAATTTGTAAATTTTCATTAATTTTCTCAAAAAAGTGAAGTTTTCCTCCTGGTGGTATACCCATAGACAGCATATCGTAAAACTTTCAGATTGTGAACTGAATCTCGAATTTAAATGTTTCCAGCTGGAGGGGAGAGGCACAAAGCTGTGGCCTGCACTCCGAACATCTCTGGGCCTTGTTTTTCAGGTGGTTGGCAACACGACCTCTGGGAGCTACAGTTACAGCATCCAGAAGAGTCTGGCTTTTGCATACGTCCCTGTAGAGCTGAGCAAGGTAGGACAACAAGTGGAAGTTGAACTATTAGGCAAGCATTACCCAGCAGTCATCATACAAGAACCCTTGGTACTGACGGAACCAACCAGAAACCGGCTTCAGAAAAAAAGTGGAAAGGACAAAATTTGAAAAAGATATTCAGCAGTCAAATGAATTATGTGTGCAAAATTATCATTGATTTGCAGGGGAACAAGGAAAACCAAGGACTTATTTCAAAATCATCAAAATCTAGATTTAGAATCTTAAAACCTGTCTCCTCTTCTCTTTGGTAGATAGCATAATGGATTAGTACTTTACATTGTTTCAGATGAAGAAATTAGAAATGAATGCTTTTAGTACCCTGTACTGTTGCTTATAAAATTCAATCAGTAAAACATTTGTTTGCTAATATACAATCATTATTGCAATAGAATTAGAGGACATTATATAATTTCATTTTATTTTTAAAGACATTAAATAATTTTAGAAACATATGCATATGGTTTTTATTACCTGAAAACCAATTAATATATTATGTTTTACATAAAAACAAATGCAATACTGTTAATGGATTCACTGCATTGAGAAACATCTTCTTAGTTGATGAAGAATAGGCTTGATAAAGTATAGGCTTTTTATAATATATCTTTGATAAAAATAGTAAAATTTAATGTTGATATATTTTATTCAGTTCTCTGAAATATTTATTTTCTTGATGACCTCTCTGAAAACAGCTTTATGGGACATTATTATTGTCTTTTCAAAGGTTGTTTTAGAAGAGAACTTACAAAAAAACAAAAACGGTCTTTCAAAGGAAGCAATACTTGTAAACCTTCTGAAATGAAGCTGAAATAGGAATAGATTGTGCCAGTACAGACACAGTTTGAATACTGAACACCTCTCTGTGGGGAGAATTAATGCAAGTTGACATCACGCTGTGCCGTTCTGAATATCATTTCACAAAGCACTTCACAAAACAGCTCAAACAAGAGCTTAAGAGCTAACAGGACTGCCCTTAGTGCTGCGTGCAGCAAGAAAAAAATCCATTTAGGAGTAATTCTTTGATATACTTCTTGAAATTATTTGGGTTTAGTTGACTGAGTAAATCACATTTTTGGTAAAAGGTAATTTATCATTTATAATTTATTATATACTTGTTAAACATTTATTGAATTTCTCCTAGGTATTAAAGAAAGATGAATGTGAAACATGAGAAGATTCTGTAATGAAAATAGATTTTCAAATAATTTCTTGCAAGTTTTGAAAAAGTGTCTAATTTGTATTTTAAATGTTTCATTAAAGTAATTCTATATTAGAACACTTCAACATAGCATTCATTTCTCTTTGGTATGTCCTCTTAAGTAAGAAAAGGAGGCAATCCTTCTGGTAACCTTTCCTAATTAACAAGAATTATCCAGACCCTATATTTTAATTCTGATATTAGGTGCAGGTTAATGACTATGGATGGGAATCAAGAGGCCCTGATTCTCATTTTCTGCCTTTCTGTAGCCCTATAACCTTAGAATATCTATTTACTATCTCTGGATTCCTCTTCTGTAAAAGAGACTCTTCCAGGTTCTTTCTTTTCTCTTTCTCTTTTTCCCCCTGATGCTATAATAACAAGAAGCAATGTACAGCATTGAATTCATGTCATGCAGTTAATATAGCACTAAAACAGATGAATAAAAGAATAGAATGTTTAGATGAATATTAAACATGTAAATAAATCCTACCCACAGCATATTTAAAAAGTTTGTCCTGCTTTCCTTTAGAAGTTGCCCTCATTCCTTCTTTTGTATGTTAGGTGCTGTTAGGTCTTGTGGGTCACCCCAGCACCCCACTTCCACCTGGCCAGTGGTGCTGGCCTGCGTACCAGCTTTGGCATCAGCCAATCCAGAGGCTGACCAATGACCTACACACAACTTGGCTATGGAAAGATGACCCAAGTTCACCAGACTTTCTCCCATGGTAATTTGAACTGTGAACCATCAGAGAGTAAACTGACCAGTCCTGAAAGCTGGAAATGAAAGGGTGTGCAGAAAGAGAGGCCTCGATGAAGCCTTGGGGCACGGAGAGCTCCTGACAAGGAGAGCAGCCCTGAGGGGAGGGGAGCGAAAGACCATTTCTTGAAGCTCTCTACTCCTGATGGCCTTTCACCAGTTCTTGGGTGAGAGCTTTGCCTCAAAAGAGCCTATTAAAACCAGTAGCTTCTGGAAAGTGAACCATATACGGTAGGTACTCAGGCCTCAAAGGAATAAGCCCAGGATTAGGGTCAGCTGTGAACAGCCAACAACCAGCATGCCTGACGGTACCCTAGTGATACGCAGGAGCCAAGTCTACAGCTTAAAAAACGTTCTCAAGAATATGATGGTGAATGATGAACACTTTCTTCTAGAGCTTGGAAAGCTCCTTGGAACCGCAAAAGCACTCTCCAGTCAATACATCATCAAAACATCTGTGGGCGTTATGTCGCTAACGGTCACATCCTAACTAATCTGTCTTTATCCTTTTCTACCAATAGGAAAGGTGACAGAAAAAAGTTTTTAAAGGAAGCTGTGTGAGACGTTAATTAGCAGAAAGATTAGATTCTGAGGTTTTAGTAAGAGGACTTTGTGTATATTTGAATTGAACAAAAAGAAAAGTTGGCATTGTTGGGAAACAGCAGCCATGAAAGGAAGAAAGCTTCAGTTACACAAATAGCATCCTTTAGCCAAGGTCTCAAAAAATCAGAGGACCAAAAGTTAATTATACTCTCTTCTGATGAATCTTCATGTAAAAATAAAAATGATCATCCTGCTTTTATTTATCTCTTTGCCATTAGAGAATCTTTAGAATAGGCCAGTTGTTTATAGATGCCACATTATGGATTAGAAAAGGGAAACATTACTTAATTATATTTTACCCAAGTATGAGTGTGTAAGTATTAGCATGTCATGAAGCATAGAGGTGGCAAGGTGGTACAAAGGCTGCTGGTCTGAAAGCCAGATAACTTGCTTTTCCCAGCTCTGCCACCAACCAAGCACAAACTTCATACTCATGTACTAAAGCCTTTCCTGCACTTAAAATTCTATGAGTAGTTACTTTCCTTAGTGAAGTATTATTTGTCTGCACAAGTTCATTGAGTACTTGCTACAGGCCAGGCACTGGAAAAGCAATGAATAGACATGGTCCCTGCCTTTATGGAGTTTACAAAGTAGAGAAGTCAAACATTTAAAACAACAACAAGCAATGTATTTATTTAGAGAGGTGTCATACAAGCTAAGGGGAGAGAACATTTTGAGAAGGAGAGGCTGGTAAACAGTGTCAAAAGATAAAAGATGTCAAGGCTGACCAGTGCCCCTTGGGTTAAGCAGCAAGCATCACTGATATCATTGGCATGAACTATTTCAGATGCTAGTGGGGGCAAAGCCCGGTTGCACTGAAGAATGAGGAGGAAGGAAGTGAGGGGTTAAAGATAGGGCACATAGAGTGTCACCATCCAGGAGCAGCTTCCTAATTATGATAAGTTATAAAGGGTATCAGAAAGCATCTAGCTGCAAGTAAGAAAATACCCCATTAACAGCAGTTTATGCAAGTGTTTATTTTATTAAATCACATAGCAAGAACTCTAGAGGTAGTCTCAATGGCACCACTAAGTATCTCAGTTCCTTTTTTCCCACTCTGAAATCCTCCTCCCCTAAAACACTTCTTTAGTATAACTGTTTTGTTGTTGGCAATTGTTGATATTTTGTCATCTACCTATCTGTTTCAAATCAGCACATTTATGTTACTTACCTTCATACACATTGTACATATTCTACATGGAAATTAGTTTAAAGAACCACAGGAATATTGTGATAGTTTTGCATGGTAACAGATATTTACTAGACTTAGTGTAGTGATTACATTTTCAGGCATATAAATGTCAAATTATTATATTGTACACCTGAAACTAATAAAATATTGTATACAAACTATACTTAAAAAGAAATAACCCCTAATTATACCATAGGCCCATAATACTCATAGACTCAGCTACATGCATTCGATTTTAAGTGAGTTCTGCAGTGCTGGAATCATTCAAGTTTCTTCAGGCACATCTGGGTCTTCAAAATCCACGGAACCAGTTATCCTACATTTAAACAGTAGATTGGAAATAAACAAGGACAGCAGAGTGACTGTAGAAGTCAGTTTCAAAGAAGCAGAAGTTCAGTTTCTTCAATTCTGTCATTCTATGTGATCTCTTAGAAATTCCATTTATGTTTATTGTTTATAATACATTATGAGACAGAGAGCAAATTGGAGGTATAATATTGTGTTCAGTAAGTATAAATTTTAATTCATACATGAACCTTACTGATTTTGAATAATATCTTTAAAATTCAAATTTCTTTTTTAAATTGTTAATTGTGTTAAAACCAAAGGAAAAACTAAGGAAATAAAATGCTTCACATAGGCATCAGTGTATAATTTAGTAATTACCTAAGTTGTAACTTTGCAGTAACTTAGTGGACAAATTTTTTACATAAAATATTATTGTATCAAACTCAAAGGAACAGCATGCAGAAATTGTGGACAAGGCAATTAACTAGAAAAATCTAAGGAAATAGTCATTTGTTCAGAAAAAGCAATCAAATTTCAAAGAATGCCAGGAGACACAACAAAAGATGCTGGTCTTACACTGCGAGGAGAAACCAGCAGAGCAGTATTTGCACGCCTTAAGCTTTTTCACCAACAATTGGGCACTTGTTTTAAAGCAAGAGATTAAATGATGTCAACATTTGTTATTCACGCATTTTCTATGACCTTAGAAGATGAAAAAAAACTTCAGAAGTATTTAACATAGAGAACAGGAATATGATGAATTTTGTGATAAGAATATCTTAGAGGAAAATTTTTAACTAAGAGATATTTGAAACTTATTGTGATTGTGCCCAAAGGAACACAGACACAGAGAGCACCGCAGTTTCTGGAACTCGTGGTTGAAGGACATTTTTATGAGTCTCTGCCAAACTTAACATTATGTTTAAGTTTTTTTTTCTAATTATTTGTATATTTGTTGGTTATGTAAATTAAGAAGACTTGGAAATTAAAAGCTTCAAAAATGTTCTCTAATCAACTATGTACAAAGATAACTTTGCAGGTTAGAAGGGATTAGCAAGAATTACTCAAAGTCATGAAAAGCAGGGACCTATAGCCAAGGTTGCTCTGCCCAGCAAAGATATCGTTTAGAATCAAAGGGCAGATCAAGGGCTTCCCAGACGAGGAAAAACTGAAGTAGTTCATCATCACCAAACCCTGATTATATGAAATGTTAAAAGGACTTATTTAAGGAAAAGAAGATCAAAACTATGAAGAATAAAATGACAAAAAATACAAATCTATCAACAATTGAATCTGAAAAACAAACAAAGCAGACAAGAACAGAGACAGAATCATGGATACAGAGAGCATTTTGATGGTTTCCAGATGCGGGGGAATGGGTGAAGAGGTGAGGGGATTCAGAAGTACAAAAAGGTAGTTACAGAATATCCATGGGGATGTAAAGCACAATATAGGAAACGGAATAGCCAAAGAACTTATATGCATGGCCCATGGACATGAACAATGTCGGGGTGATTTGCTGAAAGAATGGGGCTTGCTGGGTGCAGGGCAGGTAAAAGGGGGAAAATCAGGACAACTATAATAGCATAATCAATAAAATATAATTTTTAAAAAACCTGGCTTCTTCACTCACATGTATGGCACCTCACCAAGGATGATGACGGTAACAGCTGGGACTGGCAGAGTTTCTCTCTCCATGGTGCCTTTCCATGTGACTAACTTTCCCGTGGACAAAGGAGGGAACTTAGCATGGAGAACGAGTAAGGGATGCCCTGAGGGGGCTACCAAGGTGATACTTGGACCATACACGGAGGAGCTGCCAGTGGAAGCTACAACCACAGAGGAGATACAACCATCATGCTAGAGATGCTACCTAGTGTCTCCCAGTGGCTAAACCTAACTGGAGCCAAATAGGTGAAGAAGCCTGGGACATATAGTTTGTAGGGTTTGGCCCCACCTGTGATACAGAGCAGAGCAGAGGAAGATCATGAAATGGATCACATAGCAATAGACAGTGAGTGTTGTACAACACCAGCGTAAGTTCAGCCCTGGCCAAAGGCATCTGGTCCAGAGATGCAAACGTGGCTACTAGGATGGAGGGAGGTCACAGGATGGGCTAATACACTTAGAAGAACTACTTACATTGTTACTCTTTAAAAACATACTGTATTATAATATGCAATGTAGTATTATTTAGGTTCAAAGAGGGAACTTGTAAATATTTAAAATGTTTTTATATGTGG